CTTTAAAATATATTTTTTATTAAAATGTGTTAAAAATTACATCTGTACAAATGAATATCAAAGAATATCACCATATTTTTAAAGGCATTATAGAATGTCTGCACCAAACATTATGTTGAAGTTTCGGTTTCACATATCATCTCATCACTTGATGAACACACTGTTACTTTTTTGTCTCTACAAACATATAACTTAACACTTAAATAAGTTATTATATACAGAAATACGTAAACAGAAGAAACTTAAATTTTTGAAATACTTTAAAAGTTACGTTTTAAAATTGAACGTTCTAGTCGCTTGATTTGAAATCATAAGTTATCATAGACAAAATGAATAGTTCGGGTAGTTTGGTTGAAATCCTTGACAAACTAAGTTACTTGTCTTGATATTTATCATAACAGTGTATCGCATCAACGATGTAAGCTCAGATACTTCAGAATGCGCATCTTTATAAAGTGCACCACATAGTTTAGTAAAGCTTTTCCAGCATTTTAAAGGCAAAAGAAGCAGAATTACCTCCCAGTTCGAAACTCTGTCCTATACCTCTGTGAGGTTAAACTCTACGAGTTTTAACCTAGAACATTACTTTAGAAGGAGTAATAAACATATACATAGCTTGCGAATATCAAGGATAAACAATAACTTAGCTAATTATATAGATATTTTCAGAGTGTAAAGTACAATACCGAGAATAGCTAGCTTGGACCGTTGGTTGAAGTACTGTCCTTTTCCCATAAAGAAGAGAAACTTCATAAATAAGATTAAATATGCATAAAAATAATAAAATTATGTTACTTTTCCTCATATTCTCTGTCTGCGTTAGGGTAAATCAGACAGCATTTCTGAGGTCCTCTGTCGTGGTCGTCAAAAGCGTTAGAGAAATCAAATTTGTTTTCGCTATAAGAGTGACGTACTTCGCACCGATAAATCAATGGTAACCATAACCGCCGTGCCCACCATAACCACCGCCAATGCCTCCAAAACCGCCACCATGCCCACCGTAACCACCGCCAATGCCTCCAAAACCGCCGCCATGTCCACCATATCCACCGCCAATGCCTCCAAAACCGCCGCCATGCCCACCGTAACCACCGCCAATGCCTCCAAAACCGCCGCCATGCCCACCGTAACCACCGCCGTGTCCCCCAGTACCGCCGTAACTACCTTTTTTGTAACCACCTCCGCCATGTTTGTAACCGTGTCCTCCTTTGTAATACTTGCCTCCATCGTTGTAGTCTTTGCCGTAATAATCGTCGTATCCACCCTTGCCGTATTTATGGAAGTCGTCACCGTATTTCTTTCCACCGTGGTAGTTGGTGTTGTCGTAGTCCTTGTACTTTTTACCGCCGTGGTGGTCAAAATAGTTGTGGTAGTCCTTGTACTTCTTCCCATAGTCTCCGTCATGGAAGTCGTCGTAATACACTTTGTCGTCGTTGTACAGTTCCTTATGAAGCACGTTCTTGTGGCCGCGTTTCTTGTGGCCGTAGGCGCTGTAGTAATCGTCTCCAAATTTACCACCTAATTGTCCGTATCCGCCATACTGATCGTCTCCATATCTCTTCCCGTAGTGCCCCCCGTCTTTATTGTACCCAAGACGATCTTTGCCATACTTATCATAATAGTGTCCTCCCTTGCCATAGCCGTGGTTACCGCCATAATCATCGTAACCTTTAAGGTGTTTGCCGCCATGACCATAATCTCCTCCGTATTGACCATAGCCGTGATCAGACCCATAGCTTTTCCCGTAGCCCCCACCATGACCGGTTTCGGCGACTTGCAAGTCACCTTGCTCTGTTTCTTCAGCTTGCAAGTCATCTGCATCTTCTTTGGCTTCTTCTGCAGCGGTCAAGGAAATCAGCAAGACACTGAGTCCAAACTGGACCTGCATTGGCAGAACAAGAGAATATGTCAGTTAAATTCATCATAGGTGATAGAAGCAAGTCCCGTGTGTGATTCATTTGATCACTTTTACAATTATAATTAGCTGAAATGCTTGATTATTATTAATTAGTAATGATAACATAAAGCTAAACAATCGTTTTAATTAGAAGTACCTTCGTGAAGTTTTTAAATGTTACATAAGGGCTATGTAATGAACAGTTTAACGACGGGTATGAAGGGAAATTTAAGTATAGTTTTAAAAAACATTAACAATTGAAAACAAAACAGAGTCAAATTATGCTAATTATGTAAAGTACACAAATTAAATATCTTTGTGATACTGTTTAACTTTGAACGAGTTTCACAAAGTCTTGGAACAAAATGTAATTGTTTTCTAATACGTGCAGCATCATAGAAAGTAAGCTTTCATTGGCGATATTTGAGAAATACTTACCCAAAAGCCCTTTAGTAGCTTCATGGTGACGAAACGCTTGAACTTATAATCGGACCTCAAGGGAGAGAGGTATTTCTTTATATTAGCTACTGTAACTTGCTTTAGAAACTCGAGGTACTTGTTATCAAAGGCTTGCTCTCTTTAAGCTGGGAGCCTTCGAATGATGACGGTTTCCAGCCCGCTTGTCCTTAAATACACTTTCATCGTCTGCCATTTTCCTGTAGGGTATGTGACAAACACATCAGTGAAGATTCACCTGTGTCACGTTGATCCTGGCTCGCGGCATCCACGAAAGATACATGCATACAAATATAAAAAGTAAATAATAATCCGCCTTTTTTTTGGAAACAGAGAGCGAGAGCGATAAGAAGGACGATTTTTCAAGTCCTTTGATTACTCTGCCTTGGCTCGTAGAAGGTGTCGATGGCTCCGACCGGCAGACTGGGGGAAAATCGTTCAGTCCGGTCACTCGACTGGAACAGCGCAAAAAACATGGTTTGCCCCAATTTACTTTCCTAGTGTTAACGGCTTTCCGGCCATGCCAGCGCTACACATGCCACGATAATCCGTATCTAGCAGAGAAAGCTAGAAGCGTAAGATCCGTGTTTTGATTTTCTTAATCCCTTCCAGCTTGCAGAACAACGTTTTCTATAACATTTTCTTTTGTAGCTATATGTACTGTTATACACGGTTTGAAAACAGTAAAAAGAAAGGTACTCAACACGTCCTTATTCCAATGCTGTTGTGCGCACTCTTCTGAACGATCCCCAGTAAAAATATTAAATGAGGGAATCTTATTTTAGGTTTAACCATATTCAGCAGGTGAGTGACATTTAATCTTTCTTGTTGTGTTTTAAACATATGCACATTATTTTATTCTGTATTCTTATTACTTCCAATAAAAAAAAAGAAGACATTTGGTAGCAAAGACCTAAGTACAAGTTAAGCACATTACAGTAAATCAACCCCCCCAGTGGCACAGCGGTATGTCAGCGGACTTACAACGCTAAAAACCGGGTTTTGATACCCGTGGTGGGCAGAGCACAGATAGTCCACTGTGTAGTTTTGTGCTTAGTTATAAACAAAGAAACAAACAAATACAATAAATCTTACTCAGCTCAGGCTGTTATTACAAGTAATGCGAGGTGTCCCGTTTGTTAAAAAGTTTAGTAGAGGTTATTTGAATATTATTTATTAATTTCACTCTTCGTTGCTTTAGATTGTTGGGTTTGGCATGGGCTGTGCGTTAGAGCAATCGACTCGCAATCCGCTCACCCTTTCTATCGTAGGGACGTTATAATGTGGCGATCAACTCCACTCTTCGTTGGTAAAGAGTAGCCCAAGAGTTGGCGGTTGAGGCTCTCTAGCTTGTGGTTACAAAACTAGAGACGACTAGCGCAGATAACCCTCGAGTAGCTCTGCGTGAAATTCAACCATCAAACAAACAAACATTTTAGATGGTTAACTTAAATTTCAATAACTTTATATCTTGTTTCTGGGATGTTGTTACTAAAACAATAAAATTTCATTAACTTTATATCTTGTTTCTGGCATGTTGTTACTAAAGCAATTATATAATATTATGTTCCACTTTATAATCAGAAAAATGATTCTAAAGCATTAACTTTTCTGTATGCTTATGGAAAATCAAATCACAAATTATGTCTGACCGTAGTGTTAATGTAGCATATTTAAATCAAGGTTTTGAGCAAACTGACATTGTAATCGAATCAAACTGATAAAAACTTTGATCTTAGGGTTACACCTGTATAGCCTCGACCTTCGTTTGATGAGTAACGCGGACAGGTTTCAGTTTTGATTTACAAAGGTTGATAACTTAAACGAGCATCAAACAATTACATCTTGTGTCCCATGCACAAGTATTTGTTGTTTATAACCGTGTTAAGTCTTATCCTTAAATTAATAATTCTCTATAAATACTTTTTATGCCCCTTGGGTTTTTCTTTGTATTTTTTTTAAGTTGTCCTCTTTTAATACAGTTCGCGTTATTTCTATTAGCAATAGAAACACATGTAAAACAAGAGTGAATCCTCAATAGCTGCGGCTGTAATTGGATATCAAATTGGTCACGAGATGGAGCTATGAGTAAAGAGTTTGTATTTGAAAAACAAAAACAAAAACTCAGAGCCATTCTGTGAGCCATTATGCCGCAGCTAGAAAAAAGAACGATGTCGTTATTAATCATATTATAATTATATTGTAATAAAAGTATAATTAACGGATTGATAAATAAACCTTAATCAAGAAAAGACAAAACTTATTTATCTGATAGCATAAATAAGATAACAATATCCAGTGTTCGCTTACAGATATCACCAGCCGTGCATCTTCGTCAGTCACGTCAATCACAGCTAGAAAGTCACATTTAAAAATTAATCAGTTTTATAAACGTTAAGCGTGAGCATAAGACAATCCATTTAAAGCAGAAAACGATTTGTGATTAGATGTCCACCAGGTACAGCTTCTAGCTAATCTCCACATACAGTTGTTACTGGTAATATTTAATTATAATGCTAATAGAATAAGTACTTTCTTACACTAGGTTTTACCATATTTCAGCAACTAACAAAAAGCATGTAATATACTTTTATCCGGAACGGTATTGACGTAAACATCTTAAGAAAAATACCATATTTACTTCAAGGGCAGTTGACAAAACTCACATAGGTGCATAAGACATGAGCTTGTATCTCATCATCATGATCATCATGTACTATCTTCCTTGGGAAGGTTGACTATCACAATCCTCCACTTCTGTCTATTTTGTGCTTTTCTCACCAGGTCTTCATATTTTGCTATCTGAGTACACTCTATAATATTTTCACCAGGTTTTCATATTTTGTTATCTGAGTACACTCTTTAATATTTGTTATTCACTCTTGTATTTAGAGACATTATTTAATGGGTAGATGTGTTTTGTATAATTTTATTGGATAATAGTATATAATTCCGCAAATAAGAAATGCATGAATGTAAAAACCTGACCTTAATGATTTTAAGATAAATAAGATACAATGTTTGTTTGTAATTAAGCACAAAGCTACATAATGGGCTATCTGTGCTCTGCCCACCACGCGTATCGAAACATGGATTCTAGCGTTGTAAGTCCGCAGACATACCGCTATGTCACTGGGGGGCGAATAAGATACAATGTTTGTTTGTAATTAAGCACAAAGCTACATAATGGACTATCTATGCGCTGCCCACCACGGGTATCGAAACCCGGATTCTAGCGTTGTAAGTCCGCAGACATACCGCTGTGTCACTGGGGGGCGAATAAGATACAAAGTAAACAACATGTTTACTTGGAACCTAAATGATCATCGAAAGATCTACAGAACTTTTAAAGAGTTTGGAGTTCATCATAATAGATTTTATAACTTTGACGATCACAGAGATCTAATATAACGACTTTCAACTCTGTTCATCTCTGTCTAAAGATTAGATTTAATATGAAGCGACCCGCGATCCTAAAAATGCCAGACTTACACCTGTAAAGATATAAAGTTCATTTGGATAGCATTCATTATCGTCGGTTAGGATGAGTTGGTGAAAGCTATGACTTTATAGTATTCAACTCACCTGGTGATGGAATAGGATTTAAAACTGTAATACTCAGCTGATCATGGTAATGGTATGGGATTTAAAACTGTAATACTCAGCTGATCATGGTAATGGTATGGGATTTAAAACTGTAATACTCAGCTGATCATGGTAATGGTATGGGATTTATTATAGAATATATACAAGTATGTTTGTATTTAGAATGAAGTATGTGTTAATAAAGTCCATTTTTTTCCTGATTGAATGTTAGAGTTCAATTTAAGATAATTAAAGTCAGTATATGTACTCGTTGAAAGTCAGACAAAAAAAAAAGCGCAACGTAGACACAAGGTTATATTTCAATTTTTAATATCAAATATTTGACACATTAAGAGCTGTGAAGCTTTTTAAATAGCTTGTTATGTGTTTCATACCAGCGAAACATGTATTATTAAAATAATGGAATAAACCTAGAGGGATTACCATTGACTTAAATTTGTTTGTTTGTTTGTTGTTCAGCAGAAAGCTACACAATGGGCTATCTGTGCTCTGTCCACCACGGGTATCGAAACCCGGTTTCTAGCGTTGTAAGTCCGCAGACATACCGCTGTGCCACTGGTGAGCACAACCGAACTTAACTTCTCATTATGCTCATCTTTAAATTGGCTTTACTTTGTATGTTATCCATCCACTTCCACGATGTTACCAAAACGTTGTAGTACTACCACTACTAAAACATATAACGCATTAATTTGTCATTCACGATAAAATAAAAGTTTTCTTTTATTCAAGAGATGATCAATAAATGTGAATTTGTTCGATTTTCCAAAATTTCGCTTTGCGAATGTGAATATTAAATTATATAATTTCGGCCAACAAATGAAAACATTTTAAAGTTCTTAATTAAGATTTTATGTTCCGTTAATCAGTCAGTGATAGTTACACCATAGTTATAATCTCTGACACGTGGGAATGGTCATCAAAATTAT